CAATACTGCTGGCTGTCGAAACAAAACATAACAAAAGCAGGTCAAATAATAAGTCGACAATGGTTATGTTAGGGTGTAGGACATTTCACCCTGAATTATGACTGTAGAGACAAGAATATACTACCCCAAACTATAACTCTAAGAAATTACAGATACAGATACAGCTTTGAAAAGCTGCTCTTCTGTAAAAAAAATTTATTTATTTAAAGGAAATTTCCATTAGTAAACAAGCAATCTTCATTCACCATAACATTTTCCCCCATCACCTTCTCATAGTTTTTCTCCATCACCCCTAGGAGCTCCAGGCCACTATGATTTTTGATACTCTGCTTGCTATCTGAATAGGCTCAATTTCTGCCCTTTCTTTGAGTCTCAGATTTTGTGAAGCCCATGACTACATACATGACTAAAATGATTCCTTTCCTGTTAGTCTGCTTTAGGTTACTTTAATTTATATCCCAGCCAAACAACTGAAGAGAGAGGACAAAAGCCATTTTTCTGATCCCTTAAGTTATATTCATACAACTTCAAAAGAATTGTTTGAATACAAGAAGACTATATAAATTAAACTCTTCCTCCATCACAAAAACTTAAAACAATACTTTTAAGTTAGGAGGCCATAATTCTAATAATTTTAAACAACAAAAACTGCATAATATGCTACATATAAACTATAACCATATAATTTCAAAATACTATGACTTATTTAAAATGCATTTAAAATTTTTAGCAAACATAAAATAGATATACTTTCATTTACATTAGTAAAGTCACTGGTGCATTTTATTATGTATATTTTTCAGTTACTGCAGGAACTATATTACTACAGAAACTGCTAAGTTATTGTTCCAGTTTCTTTCAATAATTTAACTTGGTTTAAATCATAGAAATTAGTTTTCAATATCAGTATTATCTTGAGAATTGGCCAAAGTAAATAAAAAATAAATACCTAAGAAAAACTATCTTGGGTAGAATACTAATTTATAGGAATTAACTCAGGAAATATTGACATACATTTTAGCTTCATTTTTTTGTAAATTACACAAAGGAATTGTTTTGGTAATGATTTGGATGGGTCATTTAGATATTCACTTTCTCTTTCTTACTATCTTTTATAATAAATTTTGTTTTAATTAATGTATAATAAGAAATCAAAACAAGTCAACAGCAATACTTGGTCAATTATATTTTATTTCTATCTAAATAGTTACTATATCTACTGAACATTATAATAAAAAATGATCTTAGCATAGGAAATGACAAAAAAAGATTATTAAAAACTTGAATATTACCAGCATTCGTGAAAATTTTGACTGAAGAAATGTTAACTATTTTCTAGTTAGGGAAGCATTATTTTTAAAAGCATTTTTATCTATGCTTTAAAATAATAATGGGAGTGTCAATACATATCCATATACAAATATATCTTTATTTTCTCAGAAATGATTCAGAAAGTTGAGCTAGGCATAGTCTTCAATTCCTGCTGTACTGGCTATACTGCCCTGTTCTATCTATATGTTATCCTCATTCAGCTTACTAGCTGACAACAGTTGCCTCTGTGAAAGCTGCTATATTTGAACTTGGAATGAGTTTAAGGGGAAAAACGAGAAACAAGTAAAAAAAAATATTGTTTTAAGAGCATGTTGGAAAACATGGCTCAGAGTTTAAAAAATTTAAGTTGGAACCTTACTTGTAACACATAAATCAACATTCTCTCTATAATAAATATAATAAGAAAAAAACTATAATAGCATATATTTTGATTTGGTGCAGAAAATTTTTTAAACAAAGTAATTTTATACACTTGATATCAAAGTTAAGAATTTCTATTTAACAAAGATAATTCTAGCCTAAGTTACTCATGACATAAATTTTGCTTACATTCAAGTGAAATTTTAGAAAATGTTTCCAATCCCCAAACTGACAAGTAGTATAAAGAACATGAAAAAGGAATTCCTACAAATGGCTAAATTATATTTAAAAAGGAATCTAATAAGAAAACAGTTAACAAAGCGAACTCAGAAAAATCCAAGAAGCTATAGGAAATAATATAAATTTTAAAGACTAAAGTTAATATGTTTAGAGTGACAAAATGAGACTGGAATGTGAATTTATAGGGGAAAAAAGACAAGAAAAAATACTTAGAATTTAACTACAGAGGGAAAAAGAAACCACTCTATCATTTCAAAGGGAACTCAGCCTCTCACCTAGTTCCCTGTTCACAGCTTCAGGGCACCCCCTGGGAAGGAAGGCTTGGTTCCCTTAAGAAAGAGTCCTGCATAAGCACAAAATGATACAGTATAACTCTTCCTCTACGTGTTTCTCAAAAATTCCCACACACTAGCTCTGAGCTGACTTTCACCTTGTAGATCCAAACTACTACTATGCTGTCAATATAAATGGAAGCTCATAGAAGTCAAATAAAGATGGGGTTCTAGGCTCAGCCTGACTCCCACTGGACCAGTGAACCCAAAGACCCACTCTATTAATTTCATTCTTTTCAACACACGTTTGACACAGTCTCACTTGCCCTCTGTACAATCTCCATATTGCATCCCAAACTCATAGAGTGAAGGGCAAACTGAAATCTCTAAAACTACCTCTCCCTACAAAAGTAGTAAAACAAAAGAATAGCTGACCTCTTGGAACTGCTAAAGTTAGGACCATCACCAAAGTTATAATAAATGTGCAGGTGGTATTTTCTAACCCTTAGCATTGACCTCACCTGCTTGGCTGGACTTTGCAAACTAGAGGATGGCTGGTTTATGAAAAAGAGAGGCACAAGTTGACTCCAATTACAGATGTTCCTTTGTATATGCTGTAAACCAAAGCAAGTTAAAATAAGTCCTTGAGTGTGTGGCTATAGCCTACTTATAGAATAACTCCCAAAATTTTTATGTGTGGAAGAAAAGTTTCTTTTGCTTGCTCATTTGCAAGAGGCTCTGACATTGGGCCAGATGACCCAAGTACATCTATGAAATGATGCATGAAATTTCTCGCTTTGTCTGGTTGTTTGCTTGTTGGTTAGTTAAGCTGGTTTACTACTGAGCCCTCATAGAAACTACACACTTGGGATGATCACACAACTAACTATGCAACCTGAGAAGCCTAGGATGAACTAAATGTGTCTGATATGCCAGGCTATAAGATTAAGTTCTATGATCTGTTGAAAATTAGGCTCAATAGAGTGAACAAACAAGTAATATGCATGAAAATGTTGCCAGACTCAGTATCTATTCTGGCCATATCATCCCACCTACTTCAACTGAAATTGATGACCTCTTGGGGAATAATCAGTTGATGGAGGATAAATAAAATTCAGACTTAGCATATGAATAGATGTGCACAATATATAGGCAAGAAGCCAAAATATGCTGCCATGACAATTAAGCACTACTGAATAGTGATCGTTTAAAAAGCAGTGTCAAACTGAAATGTTTACGTGGACTGGAGTACATTCTTCCTTGTCCTGGACTCGGGGGAGTACAAGTGTGGGCCCATGATGCATTCATCCCGATTCAAGGCTGATGGATGACAGCAGCTGAGTGCTCAGAGATACAGAAAAGTGAACTTGCAAGATCGGCAACAAGGTGATCAATTCAGTGGCCAGTTTTACTTCTAAGACTTTCCACTCCTATGAGCCTCTCATCGTTGTAACATTTCAACTGTGCCTGCTTATTTCACTACTGAATAAACAGCGCTGAGTGTGGAGTTTTGTTTTGTTTTTTGACTGGGCTGTTATGGTCCTGAAACATACATGATCTTTAAGGACTGAGCATCTTCCTCAGATAGGAAGATGTTTTGTTGTTTGTTTGTGTTTGGTTTTGCTTCATTAAGAGCCTCCCTAGGTAAAATACACCAATTTTTCAGATCCAAGAAATGACTGCTGATCATTCATTATAGGTTTTTTCAAGGAAAAAAAAAAAGAACAACTGCATTACATACAAATCATCAGTTCTTTTCAACTGTTAGTAAATAGCTACTGGACCCATTCTGGATCCAGGGCTTATAGACCATCTGAGGAGAGAATAAGGCATTAGATGTGCTATCCTGAAAAAAGAAAGAAACAGATTTTAGACAACAGAGATTCAAGTACATATATTTTAGGTATGAATTGTCTATAAGGTATTATTATAAATGATTATTTGAACAAGTAAGCAAATATATAAAATTCTGAATTTTAGTTCAATTCAAAAAACACTGAGAATCTAGTATTTCAAAATCATACCTTGGTTAACTAAATATTAAAAAGTAACATTTCCTGGTACTAGGGATTTAGCTCAGTAGTTCTGCTGCCTGCCTCACAAGTACAGGGTCCTGAGTTCAATCCCTGGTACCAAAAAAAAAAAAAAAAAAAAACCGTTTGCTAAAGTTTCAAGCGTTTTGAGCTTAAGCACCAATTATTAAGAAAAGAAACACAATGAAGGCTTTAATTTAACATGTGAAATAATGGTGGGCATAGTAGGAGAAATGTAAGTTGTAGAAGCAAGCCCTAATCAATGCTTACTATTTTGTATCAAGTCATATTCAGCATTCTGGGTAAAAAGTATGAAAACTGCTCTTTATCTAGTTATCTTTAAACAATCTTACATATTCAGCTATATTTATCACATCATTTAAGTGTATTCTGTCCTAAACAGTCCAAGAGTCACCACTAGCCATTTGTAGAATTTAGATTATAGTAAACTAAAATTAAACTGAAAATTCAATCTTTAGTCACAACAATCACTCTAAATGAACAATGATCACATGTGCCTGGATCTGCCATATTATAATATAGAATAACTTCTATTACCATAGGAATTTTTATTGGTCTCATAAGCTGAATTTATCTTCCAGATTAATGAAGCAGGTGGAGCCATTGGATTTTAAAGTGAATAAATGTTGATCTTTTTTCTTCCATTCTGTATTAGGGTCTACTTAATGAATACATTCTATTCCGTTGTAAAATTAACGGCTTACTTTCTTTTCTCTTTCTGGTTGTAAAACAAATGTCTTACTTTCTTCTGTTGGCAAGCGTCTCTTCACCATTCCTTACAGAGATCTTCATTCCGTGCTTCTCCTTACTTGGATCAAAAGAACAACGAGGGCTTTGTGTGGGTGCTCTTACTGGACGGCCACAGATCTTATTCACCTTTTAAATGGAAAACATCAAAAGACAGTTAGAAACTATGCTTCAGATTTTCTGAGAATGCACTGTTTTATGCAGTCAAAAGCAATAACTTGTTCTTGCTTTTATCTCAATAATAAGCCTTAATACATGCAATGATTGCTAGTTTTTCACAGAGGGGATCAAATTACCCATATAAAATAGAAATCAGAATAAATTAATGTCATGTTCATGGATGCAGTGTGCAAAATATGTAAAGTGAGAAATAAATTCATAATATGATCAGCTTGTAAAAATCTAGCTACTTAGCCAAAATGGATATTATTTATGGTTTGCACATTTATGAACAATCACATGCTAGTGTTGATTTTGAAATAAAATAATTTGTTACTGATATGGGTTCCTTTTCTAAATGAGTTCTAAGACTAAAAGGAAATGTCTTCATGGTTTCTTTTTATAATTCCTTCTTAGAAACAATAATGAGTATGTTTATGTGAAGATCTTATTCTGTAATCGTTCTATATCTTTGTCCTTAATCTGGTGAGATTTTTTCAGGGTGTTATTATGGTTACATTTAAAAATAGTAATTTATCCAAGTAGAAAATTCTCTTTTTGAAAATATTTATGTACCAAATATAATTTGCATAATTGTTGTTGCAAAAATTAAGTTATTAATTTACCATGTAATATATCAAAAATACTCTTTTGGTAAGATGTACTTGAAGAGGAAGAGCAATATACCTGAAAATATATAAGACATTGCCCTAGAGACAAGAAACTTTGATTCTTGCCTAATTTTTCTTCCCTTAGTGCTAAGAACTTGAAAACATGACACAACATCTTTGAAGCTGGTTATCTCATATTTAAAATGAAAAGGATAAATTATTCCAAAGTTCTCCATTTCTTTGAGTTTTCCAGACAATATGCATTAGAGAAGATATGCATTTTACCCATTCATTCATTTTCCCCACTTACCCATTTTACCCATACTTATTTTCCTTCTAATAATTGCAAGCCATATGAATTAAATGTTATGAGATAAAGGATGTTTAATCAAATTTTCCCTAACAGACTTTACAAAAGAAAAAGATTCCCCCAGTTATCAAAATGCAAACTACGTGTGTCAGTCTGGACATCAGAAGGATGTCCCAACTGGACATCATCCCATTTGGGGTGATGGAAGAGAAGGTGCATCCACAGACTATCCTGGCAAAGTGTACTCCATTCAGATGATGCTTTGAGCATCTGTTGGGCTTTAATATACTGAAGTTTATTTTAATTCAATCAAATCAAAAATAAGTATTTATTGTACTCCATTAAGTGCTCGCAGTACAAATATGAATAAAGTGTAGCCTCACATGCACTGAGTTGAAATGAAAGCTATACATGCAAAACAGCCATTGCATTATTGCATGAATTACATGAAGGCCAGTAACATTGTGACACACAGAAAATGAGTGGATCCACTCTGTTTGGGGCGCTGAGGAAAATGCTTCAGGAAGTCACATTTGAATAACAGATTAAAGGATGAATTAGAAGTTTGTAAGGTGGAAAAGGCAGGGGCAAAGATTCCAGAAAAGAGTAGACTAGCAAAGAGCAACAACTTAACATACACAGATAGAGCCAAAGCATATGGTATAAGAAAGAACTAGAGCAAGAAACAAGAATGTGAAAAACATGAAAAGACAAAGATACGACTTGACTGCCATGCTAAATAAGTTGCTACAGCAAATGGAATACAGAAAAAACTTTCCAAGGCAGGAAGTGATTGCCACAAGAGCAAAATGATCATAGCAGCAGAGTGAGAGGAAAGAGAACTGCAGGCCAAGGGAGAAACTTTAGGGCTCAAGGTCAATGCCAGAAGCCCAAAAAGGAAGCAGATGTAAGAGATACTCAGGGGACAGACAGTAGCACCTGGAGACTGACAAGGTAAATAATCTCAGAGCCAAGAATAATGATGAAAGGCAGAGGGAAAATTCTGAGAGAGAGTTGCCAAAAACTATGAATCTGATATAGAAAATGGCTAAAAGTTTGATTTACCTGGAAAGAAGGGGTCATGAGAGGTAATAGTAAAAGGAAATGATGTTTGAGGTGTAGTTGGAGACAGATTTTGGAGGGTAGGTTGGATATAAATCTTTGAATATCAGGCTAAAAAGGCAAAAGTCCTTGTTGGTTGCTGAATGGAAATGTAACACTAAATCTGGTTGTTAGCAAATGCATTTGGCAGCATTATATGCTGAAATAGAGAAAACAAAAAAACTCAAGACAGGTAATGTGTGAACAGACTCCTCTAGTTTTTCAAGGAAAGGAATTTTAATCTTGAACTACAGTAGTGACAGTGCGGATAGAAGTAAAACCAACAGGACTTACAGAGTGACTGTTAGGTGAGAAGTGAGACAAAAGTAAGATCAAGGTGTTACTGGGCTTGGAGCGAATTTCCAATCCGAGGCTAAAAAGCAGTGATAGTGGAGTGTACATACATTAGCAAGGTGCTAAACATTCAAAAAACGAAAGAGGAAAAAATCCTTGTTAACAACTAGTAACAAGAAGGAGAGGACGATGATGTAATTAATGGTGGAAATGCCCACAGTTAAGAACACTTGGGCATTGCACGCTGTGAGACATTTCAAAATAGACAGCAAGGCAATCAGAATCTGTGATCATGATCTAACGTGACTAGCAACAGGGCCTCAGGCAAGTTATGGAAGTCCTATTAATCTCAGTTTTTTTCATCCTTGAAATTCAAGAAATGAAACCACTTTGCAGTTATGAGTTAAGAGAAATCTTTTTCCACTGTGTCCCTCCCATGGTGGACCTAAAACCCTATCTGCTATTGAACGTACAGGTAGGAAGATGGAAAACTGAAAACTACCAGCTTTATCTGATCTCTATTCTCATCATCACTTGCAATTTTATTTACAAATACAAAAAAAATACATTAACCAAGGACTTATAAGGTATTTTTGATTGCGTCTAAAGATACAAACATATATAGCAGATTCCAGTAAATACAAGTAAATTTCAAAGCCCTTTTATTTGTTGAGTTGCTGTCAGAGAGCTCTGCTTCATATTTTATTGAAAGTCAACAGAAAACCATCTGTCACCAGGACATTAGTTTGTCATCTTAGGTCCCCTGAGGTGAGTCAATTTGGGCAGCCCATTTCAATACTAGTACCTTCTCGCTATTGAAGAAACCTTCACACTTACATTGACAGTTTTTCATCTTTGACTCATACTTCAATTTCCTCCTTCTTTTCCTCCCTGGTCTCTAGGATTCTCTTCTGCAATCTGTCTGAAGTGTCTACAAAAAAAAAATTGTTTTCCTCCCTAATGCTTATCAACTCCTGCATTAAGTCCTATCTCTGACTTCCCACTGATTTTCAAGTCCTCATCTCACCTTGAAATTACTCTGAGTTGCTCTAACCCATCTCACTCCTCCCAATGTTTTAAGTGTTGGTTTCAACAACTCCTTGTTACTTAGCTGCCTTTCTTCCTTCTCAAAGGAATCTTGGCATCACATACAAAGTATGAATGTATCTTTAGTTAGCACATCAACAGAAACTACACAAGGGATCACTCCTGCCTCACCCCAGCGGAAGTGCTGGATTACACATATGTACCACATGCCTGGCTACCCTTATGGTTTTGGAGGTAAATGAAGGGTAAAACCCATCAACAAAACACAGAATGAAGAAAAGTTGCCCAGAGATGAAATCTATTTTCTTAACTTTACTGAATAAAAACCAATTAGAAAAGAAGTAGATTGGGCCATATCTTGGGGGTTGGATCAGAAAGTAAAAGAAAGGCCAGCAACTAACTGCCAGGATCATTATGTTTAGGCTTTGTTTTGCCGACTATGGTAATATAATAACAACTAATATGAAATGGAACAGAATTATCAAAGTCTTGTTTTCAGAAGATTTAGAAGGATCATTTCAACAAAGCAGAAGCTATTCCCATATGTAAAATAATATTACTGAGGAAGAACCAGTGGAATTGGAGAACAAGATGAAGATAAAGCTCTTTCATAAACAGAATGAATGGGATTTAGCCCTGAGATAAGAAAGAAGTAGCTATAGCTATTGGCAGTTTTGAATGTGATAACCAGGATATTTTAGAAGCAATAACTGATATATGGAATTTAGCAAATGTATCTGTACTTGGAGTACTGATTAATTCTCTTTTAGAATTTTTCTTTTGAGGAATTTTTAGATGGCAATTCTAAATGATTAGAGATTTTAAAAAGCAAGTTAACATACAGAATCATCTGCAAAAGCCAATAGTTAAACCTAGGAAAATGGATGAAAATACAAAATGTACATATAATGTAAACAAGTTCAGAAAAAAATCTTTCAGGGGCAGAAGGAGAAAGAGAACTCAGATAATATACCTTCTTCCCCTGACCTAAAATAAACAGGAGGCTAACAAAGGGTGTTTGCTGTTTATGTCAATAAAAGTGAAAAGACTATAGAATCATCCCCTAAAACTATGAAATAACCACCATAAACAAATGATGCACATACTACTTAGAAATTAAAGATACAAATAACTGCAGAAACTAGCTATGGAAAAGGTATAAAAATTATAACCATAATATGACTGTTAAAGTGCTAGTGGATTCCAGAATTCCAACAAAGAATATATATGTAGGGAGTTGTAAGTTATAGGGAATCTTTAAATATATGTGATCCATGGGAGAATTCTAAATTTGTACAAGGTACCAAGTTCTTAGAGACAAATAAATAAGGCAATGGTAAGTTGAATATGAGAGAAAATACTGTCTCATCCTTGGAAGAGCTACAGATATATTTAGTTTGTAGTTAGCAAAGACCACAGAAGGCGTCTTTTTAAAATGTTTACTTGGAGGCACGAAGTATCTAGGCTTCAGGGGTTGCCTGCTCTTTGTCTTCTCCACTCCCTTATAATTTTTCAGAAGTTGCCTCTAAATAGGGTTTCTGCTGTTATCTTCAATCATCTTCTGCTGGGTCTACTGTGAGCAGCGATTTCATTCTGCATTACTAATT